TCCTTCTCCTACAGACTGCTGCAGCTCCTTCTCCAACAGACTGCTTGCAGCTCCTTCTCCTACAGACTGCTGCCGCTCCTTCTCCTACAGACTGCTGCAGCTCCTTCTCCAACAGACTGCTGCAGCTCCTTCTCCTACAGACTGCTGCAGCTCCTTCTCCAACAGACAGCTGCAGCTCCTTCTCCAACAGACAGCTGCAGCTCCTTCTCCTACAGACTGCTGCAGCTCCTTCTCCAACAGACAGCTGCAGCTCCTTCTCCTACAGACTGCTGCAGCTCCTTCTCCTACAGACTGCTGCAGCTCCTTCTCCTACAGACTGCAGCAGCTCCTTCTCCAACAGACTGCTGCAGCTCCTTCTCCAACAGACTGCTGCAGCTCCTTCTCCTACAGACTGCTGCAGCTCCTTCTCCTACAGACTGCTGCAGCTCCTTCTCCTACAGACTGCTGCAGCTCCTTCTCCAACAGACTGCAGCTCCTTCTCCAACAGACTGCTGCAGCTCCTTCTCCAACAGACTGCTGCAGCTCCTTCTCCAACAGACTGCTGCAGCTCCTTCTCCTACAGACTGCTGCAGCTCCTTCTCCAACAGACTGCTGCAGCTCCCCTGTCTCAAGGACAGATACTGGAAAACATTCCTGCCCACTGCAATAACTCTGTACAACAAATCACCTCTGGCTGGAAGAGAACTCTCTGCTCCATAGTTTCTCTAGAAATAAAACCACCTTGTACATTTTACTCACACATAATCTGTTTCATATTTAATACTCCATAATTCCATATATTTTGAATATATATATTTGTATATATATATAATATCTGTATGTATATTTTCTATTTTGTATTTTGACATGTATATTTTATATTTTATTTTATATTTTATTTTATTTTATTTCTATTCTTGTATATTTTGTTTTATTGTAAAATGCCTTTTATGCTGCTGTAACAAAAACAATTTCCCAATTTGGGATCAATAAAGTACGATCTATCTATCTATCTACCAATACTTGTTTGACAACTAGTGCAGTAACTAGACAATGTACACAATGTCTGTTTTTTATCACTGCATATATTTTATTCCATTCTATTTCTATGTAAATATTGGAGATAAATCTGATTCTGATTCTGAAGTAATAATTGCTTTACTTTTCTCTATTCAGTTATTACTAATATTAAACGTGTTGCAGGTCCAAACTTCACCACTAGGGGTCACCAGAGATAAACCCAGCAGTGGGAACAGTCCTCCAGATTGGACATGTTCTCAAAGTGTTTAATTCTTTGTGCTGTTTTCAGAACATTTTTAACAAATCATCCTAATGCAAAGTGATTGACTGATATACACTGCAGACTGCTCTCTCTGTAGGAGGGACGATGTTCACATTAAAGATCTGTATATAAATATATCAAAATACAATATTAATACTGTACACTCGTATAGGATGGAAGAAGACACATTAAAGATATAAATACAATTTAAATACAAACATATATAATTTAGAAGACAATCAGAAAGCAGACAACTAATACTTTCCAAGAAACATAAAATACTGTATAATAAATATTCACTAACCTTTATTTAATTATGTACTAAAATCATTTATCAGAAAAATAAATGAAAAATATTTCCACATTTCCACAAAACAGGAAAATAAATCAGTGAAATATGTTATTGATATTAAAAATAAGTGACTAGAAACTTAAATATTGAGACAAAGAAAAATACAGTAAATTATAAAAACAGGAGAGAGGAAATGTGGAATAAGTAATTAACATATTTTACAATAATTAGTTGTTTACTATCAGAAATAATCAGTAGTATATGACAATAATATAAAAGTATTTATAGATTCAAATCAACTTTTTGTAAAACTTGAAATTAATAAAATGAAAACATTGACAAGAAATAAAATAAGATAGAAGAAAAATATGAAATAAATACTATTGACTTAATTTTGTAAGAAACTTCAACATAACATTGAAGGAAAATTATAAATATTAAAAAACACTGACAAGAAACATCCAAAATCTCATGTATTTTTGTAAAACGACAATAATTATATTTCTAGGATTACAAACACATTCAATGTAAATACTGCAATTTTTTACTATATATTTTTTAACGTTATTATAGTTTCTTCAAATAGTTTTCTATCTATAGTCTCTTCCGTCTCTTAAATGCGTCTCAACCACAGACCTTATTTCCAGCTATTTTCCAAAACCCTATGGAGAAATTGCATTGCGTTTTTGACGAAGGAACCGGAAGGAGTTTACTTCCGGGTTTTAGGATGCGTCACTGCGGTTCTCTATTTAGACGCTTTTTATGTTTTGTTTTGGTAAAAATGGTTCGTATCGTCAGTTAGCTGAGTTTCTTCCCGTTAATCTGGTATGACACATTAATAGGATTTTAAATATGAAGAAGCCCTGAGACACAGTTTTGTGAAAGAACTACCCGCCACACCCGGATTAGGGTCCTCGCGGGCTTAACAGGTTAAAACACTTCAATTAAAGGGGACCTATGATGCAAAATGCACTTGTGTACGTCTTTTCTACATGAATATGTGTCCCCGGTGTTCCAGGGAACTCACCAAGTGTCAGAAAACACAACCCTCTCTATTTTCCTCCATACCCAAATCTCTAAAAAAGGGGCTGCAACGGATCTGATAAAAACTGATCCAGATTTGAACACTGTCCTGACGTCAGGACGGTGGCGCTACGGCTATTGGGCCAACTCCACCAATCAGGAGGAGACAGCCACGGCCATTGCCGTTCGAAAGCGCTGGAGACGCTGTAGTACATATGCCAGGCCTGTAGGTGGTGCTGTTCTCACTGAATCAGCCCTTGCTAAAACAGAACTAACATTTTTCAAATTGAGCAAAATGAGGCATGGCTAAAATGCATGATCTGTTTGGTATTTTGAAGAAAAAAAAAGTATAAATATGCTTTATATAGGTATGGTCCTACACTATATTATTCAAATATAGCATGATAGGTCCACTTTAAACAAAGATGGAGGAATAAAAGTCAGCGCTGAGCTTCAGTCGGCAATGTTTAAAACAACAAAGAGCCAGAAATGTAGGTGTAGTCCTGGACTCTGACCTGAGTTTCAACAGTCACATTAAAACAGATACTAAGTCCTCCTACTATCACCTTCAGAATATATCTAGGATCTAAGGACTAATGTCACAGCAGCAGGATCTGGAGAAACTAGTCTATACTTGTATCTTCATTAAACTGGATAATGGTGTCTTTACAGGTCTCACTTTTAAATCCAGGCTATATAACTATTCATATCTCACACGGCACTGTAACTGTTATTCATGTATTTTATACCTGTGATATTTTATTATATTAGCTTTTTAATGACTGTTTTTAAATGCCATTTTATAATGTGTTTCTGCTGCACTATTTCTTACTGTCTTTCATTTGTGTAAAGCACTTTGAATTGCTTTGTGTTGAAAGGTGATATCAGGACTCAACGCTAACTTTTAAAAGTGGTTGGCAGCTTTTGGTTGCCAAAACTGAAAATACGGTTGCCATTTTTAGTCACCTTATAATTTAAATAATTAAGATACTATGCAGTTATACATCAACTTAATAATGAAAATGTGACACAAAAGAATGTTCAAATGCTTTATTACAATAAGTAATTAACACAATTATTTGAAACTTAAGTGGTAGTAAACTTGTCCACCCTCAAAGCTGTTGCAGAATGTACTAACCCACTAACAGGATTTCTTCTTAGAATAAGTGAGAAATGGATTTAACTTCTGTTTGACAGCTATCATACTGGAGAAATAAGAAACTAAATATGCAATCATTTATGGCATTAATAATTCATATCTAATTCTTAACTGTGAATGGTTTTCATTTATTTAACATTAGAAATGTATTAGTCTGGCAACCTAAATTCCCTCTCTTCTTGTATCTCAGATAGAAGATATGATTGGAGACGGATCAGAATTGACCTTCTCGAGTTCTCCGATTTGGTTGGTTTTGTGGCACATTTGTAACGCTGTGACAACTTGAGCGAGCCCGCAGGCAAACCTGAGCGTGCTCACAGGGTGGAGAGGTTGAGCGAGAGAGAGAGAGTTTGAGCGAGAGAGAGGGAGAGAGAGTTTGAGGGAGGGAGAGAGAGTGTGTGCAGGAGTTTGTGTCAATTTCTCTTCAAAATATATTTTCTGTGGTCAAAAATGTTCAATTGCGCGCTCAATAACATTTTCTATGCTCAAAATGTTTCATTGCGTGCTCAGGATAGAGGCACAACAATAACGCCATATATTTCACCTTCCAAGACTTTACACATTTCCTCTTTGCTTTTCGTTCGGGTTCATCTTGCACTTTCTCAGTTGAATCTCTTTGAACTTTGAGCTTTGAGCAACTTAAGCCTATCAGGTTCCGACTGGTCACAACAATAATTAAATATCACTCTTACTCAACAAATAATTAACATTTATCTATTTTGGGGTGCACATTTAGCTGTTTGCTGTCCTTATTTCTTTATGTTAAAAATGGCAACCAAAGGCCAATAAGTGGTTGAATTGTTTTCGGAATGGTTGTCAATGGCAACCTGGCAACAGTTACTGTCGAGCCCTGGAGAGGGAAGTGAAAGTATCAAGTCAAACTGCCAGATGCCATTTTAAAGCTGGACGGAGCAGGAGGAGAACAACAGGGTGAGTGTTAACACCAGAATCTGCTTTTTAACACATTATTCACTCTGTCAAACTGGATGTCAGAAAATAACTTCTTGGTTAAAAATGCACATCCTAGAGTCCAATGAGACTTCTGCAAGTGATGTAAACTTTATTATTTCCTGTTATCTGAATCATCAGAGTTACATAACATGTGACAGCTCAGCGCAGTCAGAATGGAGAGCGGCCTAAAGTCTGACTGATTTGATGTATTTTAACGAAGTTCGTTATTATGATGGTTTTGATTAAAACAACTGTGTTATTATTAATGTGTGTGTGTGTGTGTGTGTGTGTGTGTCTCCAGTGTTACTGGTTTATCTCTCAGACTGGAGAAGATGAGTGATTTAAAAGATGAGGAAGAGGACAAATCTTCAGTCTCCAGCGGTCTGTCTCTGAAGAGTGACCGGTCTATGGGAACACCTCTAGTCTTCAGTAAAGAACCTGGACCCTCAGAGACAAGGTAAGAGTCTGTTTCTGCTGTAAACTGACCTGAAGAGGATTCTGTTTTTATGTTATCTGATATATTAAACTGTTTAATAATGTCATGTGCGCAGTATAGTACAGAAAAAATGCAGTAGAGTACAGTAAGCTATACTCTGTGGTTGTATAATAATGTAAAGTGTAAACTATCTACCTGATCACAAGCACCACTCAAAAACCGAAAATTCAGAGCAACTCTAAAAATCTTCAATCAGGTGAACAGACAGAGGTCACAAGCAGCTCTTTAAAGGTCACCTATCATGCTATTTTTAGGCAATAGCATAGGTCTCAGATATATACAAATATATAAAAAACATGTCTATGAAGTGTTTTGCTCAAAATACCAAACAGATCACCCATTCTAGCCATGCCTCATATCCCTCTATTTCACTTCCTGTTTCAAAAGTGCTGATTCTGGGTATAAAGCTTTAAAGGTCCCATGACATGGCCATTTCTACTGATCATAATTCCATAGTTGAGGTCTACTAGAATAGATTTACATTGTTCAATGTTCCAAACTCACATTGGTGTCTCATACAGCATCTCTGTATAGTATGTGTATTCACTCTCTGTCCTACACGGCTTGTTGGAGCTCCTGCCCCCCACCCTCCCTATGAGCCCACTGTGCTCTGATTGGTCAGCGAGTTTCAACGTTTCTGATAGTGCCGTGGGTCCGCCGCCGATATTACGTCATATCTGACGCAAATCTGGATCAGCTCCGTTGTTCCCCCGTTTTTGTAGGTACGGAGGAAAAGAGAGAGGGTTTTATTTTCTGACGCTGCGTGAGTTCCCCGACACACCGGGGACACATATTTATGTATAAAAGACATGCATTGCATTTTGCATGATAGGTCCCCTTTAAAATCAATCACCTATGAAATTCTGCGTTTGTATAGTGAATATTTATACATTGTCGAGGGTTGTTCTGGGAAAAAAGACACTTAATTAACTTTACTTTGGGAGTTGTGGGGTCAGTTTCTTGTCTTTTTTTGTTTACTATTTGATAGGTCCCCTTTGAATGAACTAATGATGTTTAAACGTGTTGTTTCCACAGACAGAGAGCATGGTCTTCAGTCCCCAGCTGGCTGTCTCTGAAGAGTGACCGGTCTAAAGATCAACCTCTAAAATGCAGTACTGAACCTGGACCCTCAGACACAAGGTAAGAGTTTCTACTGTAAACTGACCTGAAGAGGATTCAGTATTTATGTTATCTGATCATCTAAACCGTTGTTTAATGATCTCAGTATTTTATTTATTTATTCATTTATTGAACAGGGACCGTACACATTGATCAACATTTCTGTAAATGTGCCAGAGTTAGCCAAGAGACTATTTTTCATCTGTAGACCCTGGACAGATGTTGTAAGTCAACCTAAAACAATTTTCATTTTAAACAAGTAAATACAATCAAATACAAAAATGCAACATACAGTACTGGAATACTAAAACAACAATAAAACAAAAAGAACATGATGAAACACAGACACTGGGTCGTAAGGAGCAGGAGATTGTGTCGGTGTTTCAGAGCTGATTCCTCACTAACCAGGTTTTGAGTTGGGATTTAAATAAAGTGAATGTGGACTGGTCTCTGATTGGAGATGGGATTGAGTTCCATTACTGAGCAGCTTTAACAGAAAATGAAGACCGACTGAAATAACTTTTCCTGAGTGGAATAATGCAATCTGCTCTCGCTGCACCTCTTGTTATCCTAGCTGCAGTTGTGCATATGATAATAAACTGTCTAATGCTACGTTCACACCGGACGCGGTGCGATGTTTGGGGGCGGCGCGATTACATGTAAAGTCAATGCAGAGACACGGACAGACGCAAATTCACTCCGACGGCGAGCATGAAGCGTTGGACGCGACGCGAATCACGCGATTGAGGCGATTGAAGGGGGCCGCGTCAAACGCGAGAGTTCAATTTTTTCAACTCGAGTGTCAAATTCACGTGACGCGTTCTCGCGAAAGCCAATCAGCGTTGGGATTCCCTCTGACGTCCTGCTGTTGATCAGTTGTAAAGATGGAAGAGATGATCGTTGTGGCTGTGAGTGGGTTCCCGGAGATTTACGATACAAAGCAGCAAGAGTTGTTCCTCCATAGTCAAGGACAGAAATAACCAAAACGATCTTGCATGGAAGTGTAAACAACCTCAACTGTCCGTCAACGGCGCGGCGCGTCAACGGTATGTCTGTTTTGGCAAGCATTTGAAAAAAGTTTAATTAGGTTTTCCCAGCTCAACAACTTGTATTTTTGGAGTATTAGGCAGTGATGCGAATAAACAGATTTCTTGTCCAGTATTTTGAGTGTTTGTTTGTACAATGACTCCAGTGGTTTTAATGTTGTTGTACTGTCATGTGACCAGGTCGTTAAACAGTAGGTGATGTGTGAGAGAACCATAGAGTGTGTGTACATCAGAGCTGCCTCAGTTCACATGTAATCTCTGGTGAGCCTAAAATTCGACAGACTGAATTAAAGTAAAGTACAGTAACAACATGTAATTGAACTCTTGCTCCTTGTCATCATCAGAGATGGTAAATAATCTACTAGTGAAATCATCCTCACACTCTACATCAGGGGTCGGCAACCTTTTTGATATGAAGTGCCATTTAAAAAAAAAAATGTGATCAGTGTGCCAAATCCACATTAAGATCACTATGACTCGCACATGCATGCACGGGAACGGTTGTGGCATGACCACCTAAACCAGGGGTGTCAAACTCAAGGCCCGGGGCCAAATCCGGCCCGTGACTTCATTTTCTGTGGCCCCACAAGAGCTTGCAAATATTATATGTTTATTATACGTTTACATGATGATTTACAGAAGCACGTTGCCCATAAACTACATGTCCCACAATGCATTGCAAATTAGACTTTTTTTCTCAGAATTGGACTTTTTTTCTTCTAAATGTGCCCGTTTCTCAGAATTTGACTATTTTTTTTAAATGTCACTTCCGTTTTTTAAATGTCACTTCCGTTTTTTGATTGTGACTTGTTTTCCAGAATTTGGCTTTTCTTTTTAAATCATTTTGTGACATTCTCACCGAAGAGACATGCAATTATTTGCCCCAGACTTCTGCTTTCAGACGTAGTTAATTATGAAGTTATTACCCTATCCAATAATAATCCAATGCAGAGGCAATAATGTAATATAATACATTATTTATATTTATATATGTATTTGTATATAGTCTTAAAGTTACAACCGGCCCTTTGAGTGCAGCCATAATGCTGATGTGGCCTGCAATTAAATTGAGTAATGACCTGACCTAAACAGAAAGATATGGACACAACATGTGTGCAAATGTATTTAGTATCCTATCCATGTGAACATGATTTAAGTGGGGGGGGGGGACCTAACCTCCTCTAGGGGGGTCCGGGGGCATGCACCCCCGGGAAGAATATTTTAAGTTAATAGCATCAATCTGGTGCACTTTGAGAGCAACATTAAGAGATCTATGGATACATCACACACACACACACACACACACACACACACACACACACACACACACACACACACACACACACACACACACACACACACACACACACACACACACACACACACACACACAGCCGAGCTTGAGTGACACACAAAGACCCAGAAGTAGGGTGACCAGGTGTCCCGCTTTGTGCACAGCATTTTTATCCTTTGTCCCGCGTCCCACAAATTGAGACTATGTCCCGCATTTGAGTGACAGTCGCGCAGAAAGGCCGGCTCGGTTCGCTGACGGCCGGCACCGCCCTTTATTATTATATTTTTTAAACGGCATCATGTAAAATGACACGTTACGCTCGTGTTGTGTTCAAGGAACCTGTCCTTGGCCAGGAAAAACAGGCAGTCGCTTGTTTAATTCTGTTGCGGTATAGATTTCTTTAATTTTTTGTTTCCTTCTGCGCTGCGTTACGTGCATGGCTTCCTTCTGCAGGTAACGGGGAGACGCGCTCTGGCGGCGGTCTCGTTCAGGATCCGAAAATACAATTTAAATATTTTGCACACTTATTCCACTTATTCCTAGTGTGCCACTGGTTACGTGCCTAGGGTTGCCGCCCCTGCTCTACATGTTGGACTTTGTGTGAAATCAAGCAAATAAAATACAAATATGTAAAACTTTTCACTCAAATTAATGTCAACAACAGAAACGCGAAAATCACGTCAAAAAAAAAATGGAATGGTGAACAGTCTTAGGTCAAAATGTGCTCTTTGAATGAACTAATGATGTTTAAACATGTGTTGTTTCCACAGACAGCGAGCAGAGTCTTCAGTCTCCAGCTGTCTGTCTCTGAAGAGTGACCAGTCTAAAGGCTGGCCTGTAGCCTTCAGTGATGAACCTGGACCCTCAGACACAGAGTAAGAGTTTCTACTGTAAACTGACCTGAAGAGGATTCAGTTTTTATATAACCTGATATATTCAACTGTTCTTTAATGATATCATGTGAGCAGTTTGTAAAGGAAAAATGCAGTAGAGTACAGTGAGCTAACATTATTTAAGGATATTTCAATATACATTTATATTATCATTGTATATCCATTATCTGTGGCATAAAATGGTTTTAAATGGCAGACATATTGATAAATACTCACTAAATATAAAATATATCAAACATTTTTTGTAGAACTTGGGCATGTTTATGATATGTATTTTTAAGATGTTTATTAATAATAGTAATACCCTGGTGAGCTGGTTGTTTAGCATTAGCAGATATAATCAGCTCCACTAATGTAATAGTGGTGTCGTGTGGCGCAGTGGACTAGTGCGTTGGTGTTGGGATCAGGGGGTCACAGGTTCAAACCCCACTGCAGTCAGCATGTCGTTGTGTCCCTGAGACACTTCACCCCAAATTGTGGGGAATGCCCACATTATTGAGTATGTAAGTCGCTTTGGATAAAAGCGTCTAACAAGTAACACGTCATGTAATGTAAAGTGCTATAAAGGATGTGTTCATCTCCACAGAGGGAAGAGGATAATTCCTGCCAGTCAGACCAGAACTGTGGGAGGTAAGAGCACATGCAGCATTTTATTCCTCTTCCTGGTTCATTTGTTTTTGAATAGGTATACATTACATTACATTACATTACATTGCATTTAGCTGAGGCTTTTATCCAAAGAGACTTACAATAAGTGCATTCGACCAAGAAGATACAAACTTGAAGAAAACAGAATCATATAAGTACATCAGGTTTCATAGAGCCAAAACATTTCAAGTGCTACCCAACAGGCTTTAGATAAGCCAGTCCTTAGTTAGTATATAAGTGCTTTGATAGTAATTCTTTGTTAGAAATTCTTAGTTAGTATATAAGTGCTTTGTTAGTAATTCTTTGTTAGAAATTCTTAGTTAGTATATAAGTGCTTTGTTAGTAATTCTATCGCTCGAAGTGGAAGCGATGAGTTTTCAGTCTGCGCCGGAAGATGTGTGAGCTTTCTGCTGTCCTGATGTCAATTAGGGCTGTGCATCTTCACTGGTCTCATGATTCGATTAGATTACGATTATCCTGTCAACGATTCGATTCAATTCGATATCCCGATGCATCACGATGCATCACGATTCATACCAATGCGTTGCATGGTGCGCTGCACATGGCTTCTTTTTCATCAATGCATACATGCAGTAAATACATATGAACTCTCTTTTTATTATTTAGAAAGTGCTTCAGAAATCAATAACATAAATGTCTTGACATTAATTTATAAACCAAAATAAATTAATTGTATAGGTCTAGCCTCCCTATATCTGTGTGTGAAGTTGTTCCATCCTCAAAAACAAAAAACTAATGCTTCTGCAGTCTAGCTGCAGCTTCTAGCAACGGTCTTCTGTTAAAGAGAGGACACTGAATGTCCTGAATGTGGCATCACACACAGGACATGAGTCTGAACACAGCAGACAACAGGAGTATTTACAACAGCATATCAAAAATAGTGCATGTGGGTGCACACTTACATTCTCTGTCTTACTGTTACATACATCCCATGCATGTATGAGATTAAGTTAGCTTCATTATATCTCAATCAGTGATTAAGTGAATAATAAAGTTTCTATCGGGTCACTATCAGCCTGTCACTCATTATTTTCAGGGAGGGGGCGGGGCTTGGAGGAACGGAGAGGAGACGGTGATCGCGGAAGCTTTTTTCCTCCTGCCTTCACAAACTTTACACACGTATATATCGTCTGAAAATTGCTAGAGGACATTCATACTCTGCAATCCAAGACTTAATTAAATCCACCAAAAACCTGACATGATTGTAACGCGATTATCTTTGAAAAACATAAATCCTTGTGTCTCTGAGCCGCAGCGACACGGAGTGATTCAGAGCGGGTCCTTCTGCTGTTGGTTCTGGACTGGTGTTCTTGTGTTGGTGGATAAAGCCGACTGCTCCGTGTTTGGTGTTGCTGTGCCGCTGTCACGTCTGTTCCCTGATCTCTGCGTCACCGACCGATTTGATATTAAAGTGACAGAAAAAAAACTTTATAGTAAAGCCGCGGCCGGGAAAATCAGGAAGCAACGTTACTACGCTATAATCGATTATCTTCCGTCACTGCATCGATACCGAATCGTCCACGTCCGCATCGCAATGCATCGTAGAAACGATTATTTTCAACACCCCTAATGTCAATGGGGAGCTCATTCCACCATTTTGGAGCCAGGATAGCAAACCCATGTGTTTTTGCTGATGGGAACTTGGGTCCCCCTCGCAGTGCGGGTGCAGTGAGCCGTTTGGCTGATGCAGAGCGGAGTGCACGTGCTGGGGTGTATGGTTTAACCATGTCCTGGAGGTAGGAAGGGCCAGATCCATTCACAGCATGGTACGCAAGTACCAGTGTCTTGAAGTGGATTCTAGCAGTTACTGGAAGCCAGTGAAGGGAGCGGAGGATCGGTGTGGTGTGGGAACATTTAGGAAGGCTGAAGACCAGACGAGCCGCTGCATTCTGGATGAGCTGCAGAGGTCGGATGGCACATGCAGGTAGACCAGCCAGGAGGGAGCTGCAGTAGTCTAGGCGTGAGATGACGAGAGCCTGGGCCAGAACCTGCGTCGCTTTCTGGGTCAGGAGGGGACGTATCCTCCTGATGTTGTAAAGAGTGTATCTGCAGCAGCGGGTTGTAGCAGCGATGTTTGCAGTGAAGGACAGGTTGTTATCTAGGGTCACACCCAGATTCCTTGCAGTCTGAGTCGGGGAAACAACAGAGGTGCCGATGTTGATTGTTAGGTCAAGAGTGGGACAATCTTTTCCCGGAAGGAAAAGCAGTTCAGTCTTGTCAAGGTTGAGCTTGAGGTGGTGAGCAGACATCCACTGAGCGATGTCAGCTAGACAAGCAGAGATGCGTGCGACGACCTGGGTCTCTGAGCGGGGAAAGGACAGAATTAATTGGGTGTCGTCAGCGTAGCAGTGGTATGAAAAACCATGCGGGCTAATGACAGATCCGAGCAAGTTTTTGTACAGAGAGAAGAGGAGGGGACCAAGAACAGAGCGCTGAGGGACCCCGGTAGTTAATTGACAAGGGTCGGACTCGGACCCTCTCCAAGTTACCTTGTAGGTGCAGTCTTTGAGGTATGAGGTGAGGAGGGAAAGTGCAGAGCCTGAAACTCCAAGTTCTTGGAGAGTGTGAAGGAGGATCTGATGGTTCACCGTGTCGAATGCAGCAGACAGGTCCAACAGGATGATGACAGAGGAGAGGGAGGCTGCTTTAGCCGTGTGCAGTTCCTCAGAGACAGCAAGGAGAGCAGTTTCTGTAGAGTGACCTGCCTTGAAACCAGACTGGTGTGGATCCAGAAGGTTGTTCTGATGGAGATAACAGGAGAGTTGTTTAAAGACAGGAACGGGAGGAGAGAGACAGGCCTGTAGTTTATAACATCAGACGGGTTGAGAGTGGGTTTCTTTAGGAGAGGGGTTACTCTTGCCTCCTTGAGACTGTTTGGAAAGTGACTAGAAGTTAGAGAAGTGTTGATGAAATGGGTGAGAAACGGTAGAATATCAGGAGCGATAGTCTGAAGGAGGTTTGAGGGGATAGGGTCCAGAGGACAGGTGGTAGGACGGGCAGAGGTAATGAGGGTAAGAACCTCACTTGGAGAGAGAGGGGAAAAGGAGGTTAGTGTGTGGGTGAAAGGTGGGTCAGGTGACCCAGCGGTGAGTAAAGGTGAGTCAGAAAGAGAAGAGTGAATATCATCAACCTTTTTTTCAAAGTAGTTAACAAAGTCGCTTGGCAGAAGGAAGGAGGGGGAAGGGGCTCTGGGGGGGTTCTAAGAGGGTGGAAAAGATGGAAAATAGTTTATTGGGATTGGAATAGGAAGAATGGATCTTATCTTGAAAGAAAGTGCTTTTTGCCTGAGAGATGGAAGCAGAGAAAGAGGAGAGGAGAGCCTGGTAGGTTAGGAGGTCGTCACGGTGTTTGGATTTCCACCGTTTCCGCTCTGCTGCCCGAAGGATGGTTCTATTAGCACACAGTGCGTCATTTAGCCAGGGAGCAGGAGGGGACTGACGAGCCCACCGAGATGTGAGAGGACAGAGAGAGTCCAGAGAGGATGAAAGAGTAGAGAGGAGAGTTTCTGCAGCAGAGTTTGGAGGCAGGAGTTGGAACGAGTCAGAGGAAGGGAGGGCTGAGAGCACCAATGAGGTAAAGGTAGAGGGGGAGAGGGAACGAATGTTACGGCGGACAGGTGCAGGATGAGAAGAGATTAGTTTGTTATGTTTGGAAAGGGGTAGAGAGAATGAAATGAAAGAGTGATCGGAGGTGTGAAGTGGGTTTACAGAGAGGTTAGAAGTAGTGCTGTTCCTTGAGAATATGAGATCAAGGACATTGCCAGCTTTCTGAGTTGGTGGGGACGGAGACAGTGAGAAAGCAAAGGCGGTTAAAAGAGATGTTAGTTCAGATGTCTTCCCTGTCTGGAGGTTGAAGTCTCAGAGAAGTACAGCGGGAGGGCCAGTTTCAGGGATGTGTGAGAGGAGATGATCTAATTCCTCCAAGAAGTCCCCCAAGGCGCCTGGTGGACGGTAGAGAACAACAATGGTTAATTGTATAGGATGGGTTACTGTGACGGCATGGAATTCAAAGGAGGAAGGAGTGAAGTGAGGTAGCTTGAAGAGGGAAGAGCTCCATTTGGGAGAGAGCAGGAAACCAGTGCCACCTCCTCTGCCAGTGGGTCTGGGTGTATGGGAGAAGGAATATGCTGTGGAGAGAGCTGCTGGGGTGGATGTGCTGGATGGAGTAATCCAGGTCTCAGTGAGAGCAAGGAAATCCAGAGACTGCAGGGAAGCGTAGCCAGAGATGAAGTCAGCCTTAGGAACAGCTGACTGGCAGTTCCACAGGCCACCTGTAACTAGATGTTGGATCTCAGTGGAGCATGTGGGATAGACGAGAGCAGGCCGGTTATAACGATTAGGAGATACACGGGGCCAGTAATAATTGCGAGAGGACACATGAATAGGAATGGAGAAAATACACATGATTTTAGCATGAGGGGCTAAAAAACACCAGCGATACTTAGCTCAATCAAAGTAAGATTTGCCTCCTCTTTGCCTCCCTCGTGACTCCCGCATGACTCCTTTGTCTTTGTCAGTGTTCATCTGTCTGACGCTGAAGCTGACGCTCCAGGAAAGAGCTGCCTCAAATGGACACTAGTCCTGATTGCCGAGTTGTCACAGCTGTGGGCCTACGCCCCTTAGTTAACTCTCTACAGCTGATGGGCATCAGCTGTGCCTTCGAGTCTATTGTAATGCACTATTTGAGACAAGTGTCCGACTAAGCCCTAGTTACAGATGTAGCACTCCAGATAGGACTCCAGCTTACAGCTTCCTGCCTGCTTCCTGCCTAAGACCTGCCTAAGACCAGCATCTGGGAATGTTAAGCCCTCCCACTATTTTCCAAGAGGGCGTTGCCAGATTTTCAATTTCAGGATTTAACCAGGAGATGGCGCTTCATTCACAAAAACAGAAAGACAACTTTTCATGGACTTTCAGTTTTGTTTAGAAGAGCATTTCAACACATCAATATTTTAGATCAAA